ATTTATATTTATATTTATATATATATAATTTATAACACACTATATATATATATCATAGCATACTTCGAATATACATGTATACGTCTCAAATAGACGGATCAATGCCGCGGATCAGGTATAAACTGATGCATCGCTTCTCTCATACTGCTATTTATGGAAATCAATGCATCAATTGTACATGTATGTCACATATTCCTTTATTCTTCTCGAATGGATAGGTCAATGCCGTGATGGCGACCCTATTCACCGGCGAGTTCTTTCAGAAAGACGCAGCAGAAGGGGCTCATGAGGGAACCGAAAGCCAAGGTACCTTTGTTTCATTCTCACTGTCGCGACTCTTTTAGTTCTGTTCTGGATTCTGAGCGGTTTGTCATGGCTTTCGCATGCGCATCGAACAGATCGTATAGCTCGCACTGCCTACTTTCTCAGGAGCGACTGAAGTATACGTGTGCATATTCAAGCGCGTCGTTTATGCGTATCAAGTATGTGTGCATGTGTGCATGTGTGCATGTGTGCATGTGTGCATGTGTGTATGTGTGTATGTGTGCATGTGTGCATGTGTGCATGTGTGCATGTGTGCATGTGTGCATGTGTGCATGTGTGCATGTGTGCATTTGTGCATGTGTGTATGAGTGCATGTGTGTATGTGTGCGTGTTTGCATGTGTGCATGTGTGCATGTGTGCGCGTGTGCATGTGTGCATGCGTGCATGTGGGCGTGTGTGCATGTGTGCATGTTTGCATGTGTGCATGTGTGCATGTGGGCGTGTGTGCATGTGTGCATGTATGCAGGGCTCATGCACAATGCAAGTGTGTTGTATGGGTTTATATTTTACAAGTACCTCAGGCTTAGTATTTGCGAGTATGTGTGTGAACCTTCATGTTCACCTAGACGTGCGCCTTTCCTGCTTTTAGCTCAATTACAATCAAGGACGGACGTGTTAAATCCCTAAAACTTCAAAATTCAAACCCTTTAATTCCTAAAACTTTAGAATTCAAAAGCCTTAACCCCTAGAACTCATAACCCTAAACATCTGAAACCCTGAATTCTATTGTGCGTATGCAGGTCACAGTGTTGACGTGGATGACGAATCGCTGTATTTCGAACCGGAAAAGGAGAACGTAGTATTCGCGAGTGCCCAGGACGGCTGGGCGTTCGGGATCAGACAATTCGCAGACACATTCGCTCAGAAACTCAACTGCAACCAGAGTGTGCTGATGAAGACGTTGTGGGGTGATTTTTACTACAATCCGAGTATGTCTCTACTATAGTTTGATTGAATGTGTATGTTGGTAGACGTCTACAACGATCCGAGTCTGGTTTCATGATAGTTTGGTTAAGGTCATTTGAGTAGATAGGTAGACTTCTACTACAATCCAATTGTTTCTGCGATAGTTTTATTATGTATATACAAATGACTGTTTTCGTAGACGTTGCCACACTAACACATTCGTACATACTACTCGTTTTTACATAATCATATATTTACACTCACGCAATATACAACCGACTGGCACGATGAAGATCATGAAGGGTGCACAGGCCAAGCACAGGAAGCCGTCAAGTTAGACATGAAAGTACTCACAAGCCTATAAACGGATATGCACTAAATTGTGTCATTAATATACATGTGTGATTGTTTCAAACACACATTCAGGCACAAAGAAGATCATGAAGGGTGCGCACGCCAAGAACAAGAAGCCTTTGTTCGTGCAGTTTGTGCTTGAAAGTCTGTGGGCCGTTTACAACTCCGTTTACGATGGTGACACCGAGAAAGCCGAAAAGATTGCAACGAGTTTGAAGGTCAAGGTGCTCCCTCGGGTTTTGAAGGTTAGTACGCGTGGTGTGTTTATATATATATATATACACACACACACACACACACACACACACACACACACACACACACACACACACAC